CGCTACTCCTCTCGCTCTTGTTGTCTGTCTCTCAGGTGAAAAGCTCACTACTGCCCCTAGAGGCTGGGGCACTTCTGTCATGTGACTGGATATGCAGCGTTTTGTTTTTGCAGCGTGTTTCTGCTTATGCAACGCATTCCTGTATATGCAGCTCGTTTGTGTATATGCACGTCATTTGTCCTCGTCGGCCACCGTACGTGGTCTCTTTCTTTAACCATGTCTTGCCCTCTCAGGGGGTGAGGACGGTGCAGCAGGGATGAATCTTCTCAAGAGAGCAGACGGACGAGTGCTCAACCTGGGAGCCAAGACCAGCGTCAGCCTTCAGCCAGGGGTAAGACTGTGGCTACTTCTACACATTTTTTTTTTACAATGAATAACTTGGACACCAGTCTGTCAGTTTTGGACCCCTAAGACAAAACTTTTTGGAAATGGCTTCATTTTTGTTTGGACAGAAACTCTGTCTTGTAGAAATGACGAGGGCCTTACTGTCACCACATTTGTTCCCTAAATTCCAGTCAGATAGACTGAATTTTGTTTGGTTGCATGAAAATTGTTTTGACAATCATTTTGACACCTCATACCAAAAATACTGATAATTGCTTTAAACTCAGCTCCACTACATCCACTCTTCGTCTGTGTGTCTCCCTCTACAGGACATGTTCTGCCTCTACACTCCAGGAGGAGGAGGATATGGAACAGAGGAGGAACATAACAATAGACCTCAGACCAAGAGAAGGCGCATGAATGAGACATTCCCTGAGAGGGGCAGCGTCTTTGAATATCGAATGGCACAAGAGGGAGTGTGAAAGGAAATGAGAGAGCGAGGGAGAGTTAAGAGGCGGGCCGGAGGAGAAGAGGTGGGGATATCACAGGAACGCAGGCAGAGAAAGAGATGGAAAAGACAAGAGTGAGGCTCCTTTTCACAACTGTGGAGTCTTTAAAGTGAACAAGCAGTGGTAGCAGCGGTTTTATCAAAATACTGTGAAAAATAGCACATAGTAAAGTTAGAAGGGAGAATACTGAAGCCCAGATATAGGCAATAACAGTCAACACAAGTAATCCTGCTTTGTGTCCAGACATACATTTCAAAGATGTAACATAGATAAATGTCACATATGCCAGTTTATAAATTGTTCTAACAATAACAGCCTGTGCTCACATTAACAGGCCAAGACTCTGAATACTAATAGCTAAGGCTAATTATGTCAACAACAAAACTAATCAGAGACCATCTTGCAATGAGCTCACACCAGCCATGACGCCTGTAAACCTTTTTCCAGCTTTCTGACCCGTGAGCACCCAGCTGTCATTATTACCAGACACGATAACGTAGAGGTTATTGTTTTCACCTTATGAGTGTGTCATTGTGGCAAAATGCGGTCCTGTAGATGCCTACTGTTGTGGAAACTACCACAAAGGCAGTTTTTAGTACTTTTGCAAGCTTTTGTATGTATGTCTATCTGTCCATGGAGAGATTTTGTCAACACGTCTGCGTCACAGCGGTGCAAGATGCTGTCACAAAACTTTATAAGTGTGTAGTTTTGGATCAAAACATTTCAAAAGTGGGGGTTTTGTGACCCATAAATACTAAATTGTCATGTAAAAGTATAGTAATGACTGAGTACTCATGGATTGGAACGTTAACATGTTGACAGATGTCACAGCTTGTGTGATCCCCTGGCAAGATGCCTTCTAGTTTAAGTTCTCTGTATAAATTCCAGTCTAAGGATCTCAAGTTAAAGCCAATGTGAAGCAGCTTTTTATCTGGTGTAACTGAACAATCACTTATCCAATACCTCGTTTCACAATGTGTTTTTTTTGTTATTATTTTTAACAAAAAAAATACAATAAAACTCATTTCTACTAATGAGATTGTCACCGTTTTCTCATCTTGAGATTCAGATTTTTGATAGAGGCTGCTTTCTTGATCCCAAGAAAGGCAATTAATTTTGCAGCTTATCCTGTCCGTAAATTTAAAGACTTGCAGGCAAGATTGTCAGTTATGTGTCAGCAGTTTTACAAAAGAAGACAATCATTTAGCGTAGATTATTTTGGAATGTAGGAGCGACAATTTGTTAAGACAGCACATAAAGAGAGTGTAAATGCTCTGGTGCAAAGACTTGTCAGATCATATTATGAAACCTAAAGTCTTGCAGTTTTGTCTCAGTGTCACATTAGAAAGTTAATATCAATCCAGGACACTGTGGTTTGTAAACACTGCTCATTCACTCAAAGCTCACTCACATATATGGAGATTATACACTGTAAATGGTGTAGGGAAGCTGTTTGAATGATTCTCTGCTGCCTCATAAGGTTGGGAACAACACAACACATGGGTTGTTGGTCACTCATGGAGACAACTTAAGCACACAACGACTCACCAAATTCATGTATAGCAGGTAGTCACACCCAGGATCGTTTGGGGGAAGGGGGACGCATCCCTCATTTAAAATGGTTTCCCCTCCTCCCATCCATAGCATTGAGCATGGAGTCGAGGAGGTAGGATAGTGAGGGACTGCAGGCATGCGTAGGCAGCAGATAAAGAGATAGTGGCCTCAGCAGGGGAAGCAGCAGGAGGCTGACGGCTGCTGCACTGTTGATGTAAATCAGCTGGTGTGTATGTAGGTGTGCTGGAAGGTGGAACACAGAGACCATGGACTATGGATTAAAGATAATTTCCTTACCTATGGATCACCATTGCTGTGGTAAAACAATCTATCACTTTGGGAGAATTTGAGACTCACCCCCTGCTGCTGCACCCTGAAATGATCTCGTTCCACTTTTATCCACCGGCTAATCTCTGCTTTAGGCTTTGGGAGCTGGGGAGGGTGTGAGACTCTCTATAAACAGACAACAGGCAGTAAAGAAAAACTATATTTTTACAATAAAATATTCAGTTAATCAAAAATGGCGACACTCACCAAAAGTTATCAGGTTTAAAAAGCTTGAAAAGCAACCACACAATATTTTGCTGGTTTCATGCTTTTAGTAAAAAACCGTCGATGACCAACAGTTGTAACACATATAGCCCTTTTGTAGGAAAAGAAAACAAGGAAATTGTGGGGAAAAGACTCAGATGGTAAACAGTCAAATACAAAACTTCTGAGGGGTGAAAAAAATATTTCAAGAAGGGCAAATTCAGTAGTTGGTTGTAGTAAGAAAACTTGATAATCGTGTGTCTACAAAACCACTGCAATACTACCTCAGATTAACTAGAGATGTTTTAATTTTCTTTCATTTGTACTTGCACGTCACTGGATTTCAGACAACGTACATTTAGCAGCTGAAATTTCTGGATGCAAATTACGTCTTTACTGATTTTACTTATAAGATGTTATAAATTAAAGTACACAGGAAAATACAGAAAAAATCAAAATGAGCTCCACTTTGTCAAACAGTAAAATACTGCTGACATAGGTTCACATAGGTTCTAGCTTCTGATACTGAAAATATAATTTGCTGTTGAGTAGATTTTTTTACATTGTCGTATTGCTGGTTTATTTCACTAGTCACCCTTTACATATCGCACAACCAAATGACCGTAGAGCAAAGATCATTTCTACATCACAGGCCGTTGTAAACCACTAAACAAGTCTTAAAATGTGAAATTAAATGACAGGTTAGGTCGACTTCTTTGACCCAAGTTAGTATTGCAAATGTTCTAATTCTAAACCGTCCACACAGGCGGCATGTTCGTTAAACCACTAGAGATGAGATTTGGACACAGAAGACCGAGCAAATAAACCAGTCAGGTGTAAACAACCATCTCAACAAATAAGTAAAAGTGAGTAGCGTGTAAATGATAAAGCAATCAAGTAGAATCCAACATGTACATGTAAAGTTGTTTAAGAAGACTTTGCAGTTGTGGTTTACTTTAACTGCCATACACAACACTGAACAGCACTGTCAGAATAAACAGCATTTTTATTCCACACCCTGTTCAACTCTGTAACTTTCTTTAAACTCAGCTCAGTACTGTACAAACCTTTAACAAGACCACAGCAAAATGACTTAAAACATTCACTTGTCGAGGTAGGGAGACATTTTAGAAGCAGTTGCATTGGTGATTATAATGACATTAAAATAGTGCAAATAACAGTGGAAAGTCTACCAGAAACGTTCCAGTTTGAGGTAGATGCTGGCAACTGTGCAGAGATAGATCGTTGAAAGTGTCACGAGAAGTTCTCAGACACACAAAGAATCCAGCACATCCATCACCTGAACTAACGTCAAAAAAATTACAAGCACCACATCGGTGCACAGATGTTATAAAACTGAGCTGAATGAATGGATTATGTGTGGGATTCTTTAGTTTTCTTACCAGTTAAATGTAACAAAACTTCAGTAAACAGAGTCAATACCATCACTAAGACAGACAGTCCACACTTTATGAAACAGACAAAAAACAGTAAACATGCACTGATGCAGCCTGATGACGAAAATGCCACTTATTTAATCAACAGTCCTAAATTACAGTATAATTTGGCTGGATAAATTGTAAAAAAAAAATAATAATAAAAATTACTGTATGTACAATTTACAGGCCTAAATAACTTTTTTCCACATAATACATTCAGCAGTCACAACAGGTAGAAAACATTTAAAGCACTTAATGTATGACATCAAATTCATGTAAATATAAAACAGTGCAAATATGATTGGCAGTGCAAAGACCTTGTAGTAGTACACAATTTCACTGAAAGACTGAGGTAGGTGTTTGGTTATATAGTTGTTTGAGGTAGTTTTTGCTTCAATGAAATTGTGTACCACTCCTCAGACTGGTTATAGACAAAAAGGTTTTTCTTTTTAAAATCTTGACCTGGAAAAATTAAACACTGGCTCTTTGTCTTGCTAGAAGCACGAATCTGTCAGTAGGATTTTCTGCACGAGACAGTCAACACTTCAAATTCATTTCCTTTGTCGATCTCAATTTTACCCCCCACCGTGTGTCACGGTGGTTTAGCTTGACATCTGTTTGAGTGACAGCCTGAGTAAGACAGTTAATACTGATGATATCTGTTCAGCGGAGCCCCGTTCTGCAGCACGTACTGACTGGGTGGTTGATGATGTGGGTGAGTGTTCTGATTGGCAGGTATGAACGCGTCGAAAACACTCTTATTTGGAGGCACAGATTGCAACATGTTGTCCAGGTCCATAAGTAAGGGAGGGGCTTGAACTGAAACGCGCCTGCTGGGGAGGATGGGCCAATAGGCATGGCTTATGAAGTGACCAGATGTCACAGGTGAGCTACTGTAACCGTAGAGAGGTAGTCCAGCATGCAGCGACATTAACGGATTTCCATTAAAGCGTATGCTTGGTGGGGCAACAACATTGGGGGGAGCATATTTAGTGTAAGAGGTAGGGAGCTCCCATGGAGGTGCAACTGTCTCCCGTCTGGCTGATTTTTGCACTGGCGCCCTGAAATCCTCATAACCATCTGAGCCTGCTTCACCATCAGGAGGAACTCGCTTCCTGGATAGAGGTATTCCTTTCCATTCGTCTTCAGAGGAAGAGGAGGAGGACGTGGAGGAGGTGGAGGCCGGACTTGCAGAGCTGGCAGAGGCGCTGAGGGCAGAGGAGGCGTAGCGAGGTCGTGGAGCCAGAGAAGGCCGAGAGCGCTCCATCTCGCCCCAGGAGTCCCTGGCAGCCACATTCACATCCCCCGAAGCACTAGCCGGCCGCAAGCTGTGTAGCAGAGAGTCGATGGCGAAGGACGAGTCCAGCCTGGGTCGGAACAAGTCTTCCTGTGGTGGGGGGGTGTTTCCGGAGCGCGCAGGAGGGAGGGAGGTCACGGGATTAGGAGGCGGCTCAGATTCAGGCTTGTGTCCCTCCAGAATGTAGGGGGCCAGATCTTGGGCAAAGATTGTCTCATCCTGGCGCGCCACAGCCGTGTTCTGCCTCTTGAGAAGCTCCGGAGGAACACGGCTCAGCTCCACAGCCCAGAAGTTACCTTTTCCTTGTGGCTTACCCGGATCCTTCAACACCTGCATGTGGAAGGAGGATGGATGGTGATATGAGCGCTTGGCTGGAGAATCTAGTTTAGCAGGATTGACCACTCGGAAAAATAAAGGTAACTAAAAATGGTTCTTTACAGTGATGCCATAGAAGAGCCATTTTTAGTTGCTTAAAAAAACTTCTAGCAAGAGATCTTTTTTTCAAATAAACCGTAAAGCTGCCTTAAAGACCCATCAACATGCTTCCTTTGGGCACCAAAGATGGCGCTCCACAGAACTTTAGCAAAGATAGGTTCAATAAGGAGCCATTTTTAAGGCAACTTTGTTTTGATTTTACTTGACAACTGTTCAAATTTTAAGCAAAAAAGTAAAATGTAAGAACAATTTTGGGTCCTTTTCATTATAATACAATTATTATGGCTTCTGGTCTGTTGGTCAGACAGAACAACATGCTACAAGATGCCAATAAGGGACTTAAGAAATTGTGAAGAGCTTTTCTCACTGTTTTCTGATGTTTTAGAAACCAAGTGATACATTTATAAAGAAAATAATAATTAGTTGCAGCTCCATTTTTATGCTTTTACTTGCCACCAAACCAAATAACTCCAAAAAACAAAAAAGAAGAATCCTTAGTACTTCTAAGAACTAAAAATTCAATTGGTAATGCTGCTTTGAAGAACCAGAGAGCCTTCTGAAAGCCATTTAAGAATCAATATTGTTTAAAGAGCAGTTCCACAATTAAGCATCGCAATATTATTCCTAAAAGCTGGCAGTTTTTCCTACAAGGATAGAGTTATGACAATGGTTTAAGGTCTTGTCCATGTATTAATATTACAGTTTCAAAATACAAACCTTAACAAAGCAGTCATAAGAAGACAGGTTGTGTCGCACCGAATCCCGCCAACCTTTGTAGTTTCCTTTGAAAAATGGAAACAGGGTGCTGATCTCTTTGAGGATCTGGAAAATAAAAAGACATATCAGTATGTTGTATAATACAACGTAAGCAAACATCAACACATCTCTTCTGTTTTAGTATGTAGACCCAATTCACACACTTTTTTTGGGTCATGACAACTTTTAATGGAATTATGTTCAACCGACAAAGTGCATTGAGTTAGGGGAACCTGCTTTAAAAAAATAAATAAATAGAATAAAAAAAATCTGCAATCAAAGATATTTCTATCAGTCTTAACTACAATAGGGGAGATGGTTTGAAATCCTGATTTCAAAGTGAAGAAAGTTTAAGTTACCAAGTCAATTTCATTTAGTTCCCTCAACCTAAATTCAGTAATAAACAAACTAATTCTGAAATGTAAGTTTGAATTACACTCCGGTTAATGCAATTATCAACATTTTTATGGCAACCCAAGCACCAAAATAGTGCTTACAGGTATATCTACGTGCATCATGCCCTTAAGTTGTGGGAATCTTGTTTGAATTGCTTTTTGGAGTACACTGCATGAAATGCTGTTTATATTTTTTAGTTGGGGCAAAATGGATCTTTATACTAATTAATGTATTATAGGAATTAAAATGGCAAAACAGTATTTTTAAAGTTAGAAAAAAGACAGTATACAGCCCCTCTGAGGCCAAATGAAACGTGATTTTAGAATGTACTGTATCTTATCACTGTTGCTGATACAGATCAGTGTCTGGTTTCACTGCAATCCAACCTTATCAAAGCAAACCAAGAATGGTACGAGTAATAGTCACTCAAGTGTCACGAAGAGGTGACTGTTTAGTGTCATTTTACGCACTGTAAAAGTATGCACTCCCCACGTGCTTTCGATACAATTAATAATGAAAACCAAATGCAGCGTACTCTCCCTCTAAATCAATGTAACAATTCCTTGTATCTGAATGAATTCTCTCAATAAAATGTTGAGGAAAGAAGCGCTCATAAGCAGCGCTGCGCGTAAAACACAACATGCCCAATAGATGGCCAAGTGACCCAAAATCCAGTAGTTTGCATTCATACATGAAACATGTGAACAATGTAATTTCACAGTTACCTCAGATAACGTCAACTTCTTCTCTGGAGACCTTTGGATGACCATAGCGATCATTGCAAGATACGAGTACGGTGGTTTTGGATACCGCTTGTAGTTCTTTTTCTTCCCAACGCCAGCAGTACTCTTCTCCTGTTCACCGCTCCATGCGTCCTGGGTATTCGTTTCCTGCTTAAAGTGGGCATCTTGAGTGTTCGCGTATGATGAGCCAGGTGGGACGACTTTATCCATGAATTCCGTGGCGCTGCTGATGTGCTCGATGCAGGCAGAGGGCTTCTCCAAGCGCGGCGGCTGCTGGGGAGCCATCTGAGCCGGGTGGTGAGGCCAGTATTGGGCTGATGAGCTCCGCACTACACTCTCGCCACGAAAACTCTGCTGCGCTCTCCTGTGGGAGTCAAGTTGATGGTCGTGATGTTCTCCATGGTGGGACAGCGCGGGTGGTGCCAAGAGACTCTGCGCTGACCAATGCTTTGTCATGCTGATCTGCCAAGGGGGGGAAGATCGGCCAGGACGTTCGGACAGGAGCACGGAGGGGGGGAGGGAGGTCAAAGAGTTGGTCCTTAACTTCTGGCAGACTACTGGCTCCAGGCTGACTCTATTTGAAGAGCAAACAATTAACAGTTTCATGTAAATCCCGCTGCGTAATCGGGGAGAGAATGACGCGTTATCTGAAAGTGGGATGACTGATCGCCCTGGGGGGCTGGGGTGGGTATGTGTACAAAGAGCAGAGAAAAAAAAGACAGTAAACCAGTAAATCATCCTTATGATAATATCAACACGCCACATACAACGCAAATTTCAGAATTGCTTTTCTAAAGCAGAGCTCCGAAGATTTACGCACGGAGGCATAAGTGCGTTTTTGGAGTTGAAATTAAACTTCAACAATTCGCACAACTCCAGATCTGTATCTCATGGTCTCTATAAAAACTGCTATTTTAAATGAGTTTGTAGCATTTCTCTCTGAGAGTGACACTTGGGTGCAGAGGTGAAAATGAAACTCATAATGGGGTGGGGTCGGTACAAGAAAGACAAGTAATTTCGATTGAAGATTACATGCAATCAACAATTTATGTGAGCAATATACATGAGAGGTGGCTAATATACAAACGTTAAAGGTGGTAAATTCAATACTTTAGGAATGATTTTGTTTAACAGACTGTATCAAAGAAATTAAGCAAATTTTTAAATTGTGAGAAATTTCACTGGAAGTATCCATGGTGCACTAGTTGTTACTCATGCAAGTCATTTCGGTTAGTTTGAAGTAAACACCTTAACAAGAAGAAAAAAGGAGGGGGGGGGATAGTTTTGGAAAACGAAAATTGCAACTCAGATGATATCTTTTGGAGTCATTACTGTTTTCTGGTGTCTGAGAACACGCATCGGTCGGTGGGTGTTTTGCACAGTGGGGACTATATGCAGAATGCCATTCAGCGCTGAAACGCGTAAGTTTCGAGAATGCACGTCTTTTGTTCAGGTTAACGTAGTGCTAATGTGCAAACTCCTGCTTCCCAGCAAGACAGTGAAAACAAGTTGGATTAGAAGGAACCCCGTTGGCAAGCTGGAGACGATTCCTTCCCAAAGAAACTACTTAGCATGTGAAATACAGGAGCTGTTCGACACCATTTGTGGGTTTTCTGGCGCTTACAAGCTGCTAAGTGTTCACACCTTAAACATGAGCAATCATGTTCCTCTTCCCCCCCTCCCCAAATTGTTGGAAACTGAGCAAGAAATCTCTCCAACCAAGAATCAACATGTGAGTGAACTAGTGGTAGTTTATCATTCTTATTATGGCTCTAATGGGCATATTGCATCTGATGAGATAATGAAATTTGACTCCAACATTAACTTATGAAAGGAATTGGAAACTGTTTTCAAGCTCTAATGCTGCTTTACCTGTAAATACATGACAAGTAACCTACACACTGCTGCATATGACATGTGAGGCTGACCTGTAAAACACATACTCCTTCAAATTTGAGTGCTACTTTCCATATTCTGGCACCAAATTACATCCAAAAACACCTTTACACTTCCAGTTAGGATGGTTTTTAATCAATTGGTTGCAAAAAAAAAAAAAAAGGCAGAAAAACTTTTTGATTGACTTGCATTGAAGGCCTTTCCAGCAATAAATAATGGCTCTCTGTGATAAACTTACCACACTGATTTTCAAAATGTTTGAGCTTGTTTTCCAGGTCAGATGGCATTCCTCACCTCCTTCGCCCACCTGCTGCAATTTGCATCAGTGGTTTTCTTCTCTGATTGTGCCACAGCTGCATAGAAAGTGTGTCCCCCTCTGGTGGTTTCACTCCACACTTGAGCTTGATTCACCCAGATAATGCGCAACATGTGGCAGGTCTCCAAAAACAGCAGCTTTAAGTGAGTATTCTCTGTCTAAAGTTGAATTTATTGACTTTTTGTTGGCTGTAAAATCTCACCCATCATGCAAAAAAATACTTACCAGACTCCCATCTATTTACATAAGCTCTCATAGTGAAGTGCTCAGCGCCAAACACACTCATTTAAATACAAACTGTCAGTCTATCTCCTCCTGTCTGCTGGAGCACCACTTAATAGGTTTTGTTTGGATTAGTGAGCCATGCATGAGAAGAATGGGAGACTGCATGAATAGGACCAGCATCTTGGGAAAGGCTGTTCACATACACCGATTGTGTCTGGACAAATCCCTGCTGAGCTGCCGTCCTGCATCCTGATGCTGAAGAGGAAAAGTCAGCCTCGTGTGACAGAGTTATATTATGCATTAATGCACTCATTCCGTGCACTGAGCTTTTTCCTGTAAAATTAAGCGATATTTGTCAGCAGGATGCCAGAAGATCTATATTGTTTATTTGCAGTGTGATCATGTCTAACAGCTACTCTTATTGTTCTCTTATGACAAATTCATTCCACCAAACTGCAGCCAGTCTCCTCAACTTTCAAAGATGACAGTCAACACTGTCCTTTTTCACTTAGTTTGTTTTAGGGATACGTTTTTATGTTTATATTCCTACAATTCTAAGCACTATTCCAGCCCTGCATTGCATCACATCCTGAGGATCAGATCTGGTAACAATAGTTCAGGCTCCCAAGCTGTTTCCTTGTTGTGTCTCTGCAGAGTATCACCGCTGCTGTGTTGGATGGCCGGGTCGCTGCAGGGGTCACCAGATCACAGGGTCATCACTCTGTTTTTGGGAACTACCCGCTGATTCTGATGCTGCTGAGTGCATCTTGTCTTGAGTTATCACATTAGGAGTATAACTTTGTTAAAATGACATTTAATTTGAAACTGTTAATAATGCACATGGTCATGTTTGTGCAGCACAGAGAGATTTTTTAGATGAGAAAACACCCTCTGACAGTTGCTTGTGAAAAGACTGCAGTGTGTTCATCTTTGTCGGACCTGAAATAAGTTCTGACACACACATAAATGCGCATACAAACACATGCTTATACACACAAACACACCTTTTATACTTAATTAATAAATCAAGCAGGGGTTTTTTTTGTTTGCTTTTTTTAAAACTATGGTATGTCAGCTCTAATTGTTTTTAAAAGGTTGGTGTGCTTTCTCCACCTTAGAGTGCACCTACCTATAAAAATGAGCATTGACTGTAGGTCTGTGTTGTAACACAGTTTTCAGTAATTGCTGTTGTTTAAACATAACTAATGCTCATTTTAGAATGATCAGAGTTTGTAATTTTGGTAAAGATGGCACAATAAATTCAAATTCTTTTTGGTATAACGTTTGGTAACTCTCCTGTATGAGAAGACAAGCTATAAGAGCTTTAAATATATATTTGAAGTTACCTTTAGTCACTCAAAATGTCTCAACATCTTCTTCCTGCACTTTTCTGACAAGTGCAATCATATGGCAATAAGGTTTTAAACTTCTTTATATGAGCTGCATCTAAGAATTGTACACCCTTCTATAAACATGCTTTGTCAAGACATAGAATTTTAATATATTAATTGGTTTGTTAAGATTAATTAATAGGATTTCTTCCAGTGTTGTTTCTCTTCTGCTGCAGCTTCCCATAATACTAAATACATTTTTATTTTATTTTATTTTATTTTATTGATCCAATGCACTATTTTGGAAACAGGTTAAAAAGTCTTCCTCCAAATTGACTATTTCATGAAGAAATCCCCAAAATTTACACAATATTAATGCATTTTAAAATAGAGCTGGGATATAAGCAGGGTTTAGTCCACAGTATAAAGTATTTCCCTTTAGTATTTGCAGTTGCTGAGGAGTACACCAATAAACTCTCACGTAAATGCACAATCAGACCACTAGATGGCTCTACAGAACACAAGAAAAGGCCTCATGCATCAACTAACTACATGAAAAGAACTAAAACATTTTTTTCCTTTAGTCCTGAATAAACTGTGGCCTGAATAAATGTGTATGAAAAGTTTCTCCCTACAATAGTAGTTTCAAATGATCATCGCACTGTAATACATAGATATTTAGCATCTAAAGATAGTGACTGCACGTTACGGAAGCAGCCTTTACTCCACTTAGACCAATGTGATCTGTCCTGTGTCATGTCTGATTATTGTGCTGTATACATTTGGCACTAAGTGTCTCATAATACATCCTCAGCATCACCCCTGAGCGAACCTAAAACATTCAGCCAGGTATGTGTTATTTTTGATACCTTAACTTCAGTCACCACATAATGCTCCCCAGTAACCCAGATGAACCGTCTCTCCATGACTCCATGACTGTCTTCTCATCTGCACCAATAAACCATCGACGTTTTATGGAATGGAGAAGTGACAAACACCAGATGCAGCGATCTCTCCAGTTTGGCACATTATCTCCCTGTTAGGTTTGGAATCCAGTTTTCCTGGAGCCTCCACTTAGTTGGCTGTGTTTTCAATATTGTTTGTTTTATTACTGATTTGATTCCTTTGTATATTTCTGACCTTTTATTCTTCTCCAGTAACCCTCAGGTCTCATATCCAAATATGTTTTCAATTTCAAAGTTTAGGCTGAAAACGAGTGGGGCAAACCTTTACTGTTTTAGACTGTACAGTGTGGTACAAACTAATATGATGCCTGTTTCCAACACAAGTCATCTCCAGCGTAGGTGAAGACTTCAGGGGGAATGTAAAGTAAATATCTCTGTCAATAAAGCATAAAAATGTGAATGAGGCCAAGGGTGCATTAAAATGTATCTGTTGTGCCTGTGTTTTTTATTTTCCTTAACATAAAAATAAATTTTACTCTGTAGATAGGTGCAAGAATCTCAGCAACTAAATCTCATTCTGGCATCATAAAAACATGGTCAACATTTGGGTCCAAAATGCTGCTGCTGCTAGAAAACTAGCAGACACCAAGAAAAGAGAACACATTACTCTGACTCTACTCTTGATCTCCTAGAGATGGCCTCCAGTTAAATATGGAATTGAATTTAAGGCTCTGCTTATCGTCTGTAAATCTCTCAATGGTCCAAAATATATCTGAGGCATGTTTGCTGAGTACAAGTCTGGAAGGTCTCTAAGATCTGCAGAGACATGTGAGTTAGTGGAGCCCAGAGTTTAGACCAGACACACTGACATGTTGTTTTGTCGTTTTGCTGCTTACTGCAGGAACCAGCTTCCCTGGGAATTTGGATCTGCCCCAAATGTAGCTGTTTTTTTTTTGTTTTTTTTAAGTAAGCTAAAGACAGGTCTTTTTGCAATAATTTGAATGAATCTGTATTAATTTATAAAGTCTGTTCTATTTTTTTTCTTACTAAATATACATTATTTTCAAATTTTTTTATTATATACTATCTTTTGTCATCTTTTTATTTTCCTTATCTTTTGTGTTTTTTCACTGTTTTGGTCAGCCTGTCTGTACTTTGTTTTGATTGAATCATTTCAGTTTAAGCTGCTTTATTTACATTTATTATCTTTCACACAATTTATTTTTATTTTTTTTTACCTTTGCATGTAAAGCACTTTGAATAACCTCTGTGCATGATAAGGTACTGTATAAATTACACACTTGATGCTTGCTTGGTAACTCCCCCCTAACCTCTTAAGACCCGAGCTTTTGTTTGATATGCATTCTTTTTATTTCTCTTTGCTATTTGATCTGATCAAACAGCAAAGAGGAATGCAAAATAAAAAATATAAAGAAAATAAAAATATGAACAGGTTTGTGTCCTTATAACTTATTACTCTGGCAGTTTAATATTGTTCTTTTTTACTTTGTTTCATTTCGGTAGGTTTAGTTATTCAATTAAATGCCTGATGTATTTTACATTATTGTATTTTAGGTGCACATGTACAGTCTTCCTCAAATTTATTCATACCCTCTTATTAAAGAAGGGGGGAAAAAAGTAATAATCAATAAAAAAAAAAAAGTTGTGAAAATCATGACATTGCTTTTGAATTGTGGCTCAACAGGAAAATAAACAAACAAATAAAAAATAAAATAAAAAACATGTGGGGACCCGTAAACTAATATTTTGTTGAACAACCCTTTGAGCCAATCACTGCAATCAAGTGTTTTCTGTAACTCTCAGTCAGACTTGTGCACCTGTTGACAGGTATTTTGATTTTAG